GTTTGTAGTCCGTCGAAAGTTAACCGACGTTTCGGATAAATATATCGTCTTCATATTCAGGGTTGAATAAGCCGAGCGAGAAACCAGTGTGAAAGCAAGTGGCGAACAGAACTCTGCGACATGTTCCTCCGCAACGTCGGTTGACTTTCAATGGACTACTCGTCGTTATATTTCAGAAGATATGGTACACTTCTTAACTAACGCCGTGAGAACCTCAAGTCCTGCATGATGTCAAACAAAGTCGAGGGTTAACAAAAACAAGTAAAATCCTGAAGAATTCTATCTTTTGGGATGCAACGCCGTGTAGTCCGTCGAAAGTCAACTTATGTTTCGGAGGAACGTGCTGCTTCCATCTATAGTGTTGAAGAGTAAGCCAACATTTGTTATATGATAGTCCACGTAGGATATGTGGTAGATGAAAAGACAATGGCCCACAATTTCTCCAAACATTTCTGTTTTCCCTCTACCAATTATCGTTACACCAGAGCTCCGGGATCATTCATCATCAGGAGCTTGTGCAACATGGCAGTTTGAGGCAGTAGTGCCGAGGTACACTCTCACTCCAGTGCTACTACTAAAAAAAAACACTATCTGACATCAAGGGAGGAACATAGACTGAGGGTGTTTGAGAACAGGGTGTTGAGGAGAATATTTGGACCGGAGAGCGATGAAGTGACGGGAGGTTAGAGGAAACTTCATAATGAGGAGCGTCATAGCTTGTACTCTTCTCCAAGTATAATTAGAATGATCAAGTCAAGGAGGATGAGGTGGGCAGGGCATATAGCACGAATGGGGGAGACTAGGAATGCGTATAGGATATAGAAGGAAAGAGACCACTGGGAAGACCAGGGCGTAGGTGGGTGGACAATATTAAAATGGATCATAGAGATAGGATGGGATGATATGGATTGGATTGATCTGGCTCGAGATAGGGAACAGTGGAGGGCTCCTGTGAACACGGTAATGAACCTTCGAGTTCCATAAAATGCTGGGAAATTCTTGAGTAGCTGCAGAATTGGCGGCTCCTCAAGGAGGACTCAGCTCCATGAGTGAGTAACTGCAAGGTTCTGAATATTTCTTGAGAAGTTAATAGTTACTCAGTCAGGGAATTTCCCACCTGTTTATGGAACCCAGACGAATCCCGTTCACACGCTAAGTATAACATCTCTTCCCTCCCTCTTTTGAATATGTGCGTGCGCGCGCCCGTCTGTTTCTCATGTATCTCGGATGTGCTTCCCGCAACCTACCTCGGATTTGCTGTAGACGATGACAACCAGGCGTTACTAATCGAAAAACGTTTTTGCTTAAGCAAATGGCAGATGGCAGAAGCGTAGCTTGTTCGTGAGGTAGTTAATTTAGGCATATGGGTGATCCTGATACATACATACATCTGCGTTTCGGGATATTCATAAGTGCAATTTGCACGGAATATGAAACATGTCACAAGCTTTACAATAACAAACAAACATAAATGTAAACAACGTGCATATAAATAAATACATAAAATACAGATTATATTTACACTTAATGTCTATATTGATGCCTACTGTGGGACATCCATCAGTCAGCATGCACTCCCCTTCTATTCCTTAGCTGTTGATCCCGACAGAAGAGCAAAAATTCATCAACAGTATATCATAGAATATGTATTAGGACATCCCATATTTCTTTTATAAACTGTTTTTTATCATGTACTAAATCAGTTAAATAATCAGGCAGATTGTTAAATATTTTAATGCTCATGCAATGGACCCCTTTCTACCTCATTGCGAGATGTGATTGTAGGACATGTAAATTTCTTTTGTGTCTCGTCAGTTTCTCATAAATTGAGTAATTAAAAGTAAAATAATCCAAGTTATTTATCATAAAAGTCATCAAGGATAAAATATATTGAGAGACTAATGTTATATTTAACTTTATACATGCTGGCCTACATGACTCTCTATGTTTCATCCCCATTATTATTCTAGTAGTCTTCTTTTGTAAGAGAAAGATCTTCTTGGCCCCTGACGAATTACCCCCAAAAACTATTCCATATCTCATGAGTGAATGAAAGTATGCATTTTAAGTGTTGTAACATTACTATATGTTTTCATAATTCGTATTGCATAACATGCCTTTCCCAATCTGGGTAACAATGATTCAACCTGTGTCTTCCATTTGAAGAACTTATCAATTTCAATGCCCAAAAATTTAATATGAGTTTCCTCTTGTAACAATTCATCGTTAAACTTTAAATGTACAGGCATATTGTCACGATTGATTGCTTCAAATTTTAACACTTTAGTTTTCCTCAAGTTTAGGGATAAGCCATTGTATTTAAACCACCGTAAGGAATTTAACATAATTTTAGACCTTTCTTGAATTTCATCAATATTAATACCCGACACTAATATACTTGTATCATCGGCATACAACAGTGACTTGTTGTCAGTACTCAATGCTGACGGCAGGTCATTAATATATGAAAGGAACAACAAAGGACCCGAAATCGAGCCCTGTGGCACTCCATATTTGACAGTTCCCCAGTCTGAACAGCATTTTCCATTTTCATTATTATAGAGTTCAACTCTTTGTCTTCTATTTTCCAGATAGGACTTCAACAATATTTTTATTTTACCACCAGTGCTGTATCTTGCTAATTTACTCAAAAGAATATAATGACACACAGTCAAATGCTTTTGTCAAATCACAAAAAATTCCTAATGAATGATTGCGTCATTCCAACGTTTCTAAAACATGATTAGTTAATGTATATATTGCCATTCTCTCTTACTGCTTTCTCTAAATCCAAACTGTGCAAAATACATTAAATTGTTTGTATGTATGTGTTGCTTTATCCTACTGTACACCACTCTTTCAAAAATCTTAGAAAAACTTATTAGCAATGATATTGGTCTATAGTTTGCCGTAATTGCCTTCTCACCTGTTTTGTATATAGGTCTTAATGAGGCCAATTTCATTCTATCAGGATGTATTCCATGTTCAAAAGATGCATTAAATATGTGACACAATGGTTTACTTATCTCAGTTATACAATATTTCAGTATCTTTCTAGAAATGCCATCATATCCTGTAGAATCTTTTGATTTTTGCAACATAAGTATGCTCTTTTATTTCCACCTCTGTTGTAGGTATTAGCCTCAGTTCAGGGAATTTATCAGATTTCAAAGTGTCTAAGAATTTAATAGCTTCATTTTTATTGGCACTTTTAATTTCCAGATTCTCAGCTATAGTTATAAAGTATTTATTGAATGCTTCTACTGCTTCCTTAATATTAGTTACTTTGCTTTTCCCCCACTTTCATTTCGGTTATATTATCTGGGCCCCTCCTTTTCCCAGTTTCTTTACTAATAATCTTCCAGGTTAATTGTATTTTGTTTTCCGAGTTACTTATAAGTTTTTGGTAGTACAATTTCTTAGCTTCTTTTATCACTTTCGTTAATGTCATACAGTACTTTTTATAGTATGATTCCAATCTTTCATCCTTTGATTTTTTAACTAAGTTGTATAAAGCTCTTTTATGATTACAAGATGTCCGTATACCTTTGGTTATCCATTTATTGCTGTCTTTCTTTTTTTGTACACCAGGGGAAAGCTGTTTTCTAAAATTTTTAAGAAGGTATTATGAAATTTATTAAATTTAATATTAACGTTCTCTTGATCATAAACTGCTTCCCAATTTTCATTTTGTATGCCCTTTGGAAATATTATATGTTCTCATCATTGATATCCCTAAATGCTCTTACATGGTCCCTTTTCTTTATCACCTGTAAATTTTCAAGTACAAAGATTTGTCCATCATGGTCTGAAAACCAATTTATTGTGGAATGGGTTTGAAATTTATTGAAGACATTCTTATCTAAGAAGAAATGATCTATGAGTGTGACAGAACTTGGACCTATTCTAGTCAGACAGTCAATTATTTGAGCTAGATTATAAGTATCTAATAAGGATTGTAACTGTATTTTTTATGGTTTTCATTAAGGTAATTTATATTTGTATTGCCACAGATTATCAGTTCCAATTTAAGGCTTACTAAATATGAAAGTGTAGCATCCAGCTGGTCAATAAATTGGCTGATGTCACCATCTGGTACTCTGTGGAGACATAAAATACCTAATTTCTTATTACTTATAATTATCTTCACCTCACAGGCATCGAAAACCTTCTCCCTACTTAACCTATTAAGATCTAGCTTTTCATATGTTATATTATTCTTAACTAATATACAAACTCCTCCATTCTTAGACATATTACATGAAAAACCTGTTGCCATTTTATATTTTGTCATGAAGTACATGGATAGCTCATCTGCACTCAAATGACGCTCACTAATACATAAAATATCAGGATTATTATATACATCATTTTAAAAAATAGCTAATTCTTCTTTTTTTTTATTTCTAATGCTTCATATATTTTGATGATATGTGACAAGAGAATTCTGCTGACCATTGTTTCCATTTTTTAGTTATTCCCATAAAAAATCCTCACTTCTCGTATTTGGGATCTTCCGACTTCTTCTAGGGGGAATAGTTTGCAACACTACAATGGCTATTCCCTGATCATCAGCTGAGATTATTGTTGCGTCCTCCTTCCATGTTAGACTAATCCACATTCCAATTTGTATTTCCTGCAGCTGCATTTCAGTTTTTTCCATTAGTAGCGTTACTAGTTTGTCTTTACCTGAATTTCTTATATGTAGTCCATGACGTGTAAAATCTTCTCTTTCTAGGTCTATGTGCATCATGTTGATGTTATGATTATGATGCCAGTTTATTTTTCCACCATTTTTTTTTTTTCAAATTGACACTATATAAGTTTTGAGTTTGTTTGAATTAGAAACCAGTTTCTCTGTCCATTTAATTTTCTGGCTGTCATCCTTCCTCTGAAATAGAGACATCCCTGCCTGCTTTACTTTTGCATGCATATCCTGTTTGTTATTGTGTCCTGGAAAAGATTAGTTTAATGGGCATTTTGAATGCATATTCTCGACGATGTTTCCCATCATTATTAGTTTCTTTGTTCATATTGCATTTTTAGTATCTGTATTTGGTATTTATTTCAAATCGCCAGTAGTTCATGACATTATACCACAGTCCAGTCCTCTAGAAGCTCTTGCACGCAGGCTTGTTTTAATGGTTGCTGATGGTTTACATGCTGATTCCTTTTTGGGGGCAGATGATTTATTTAAAGCAAATGCCTTGCACTTCAGGTATGCAGCAGCAGCAGCAGAGAAGTTAGAACGTTATTGTGTTATAGTTAATGAACATAACCTAAATTTTTTGATAACTTGACTGGTTTCAGGTATGTAATTGAGGAGAGGGGAGCATGGGGTGTCTCTCATACCAGAGTACCAACAGAATCACGCCCTGGACATGTGGCATTATTTGCTGGATTATATGAGGACCCATCTGCTGTAGCCAAGGTTAGAAATTGTTGCGATGAGTGATTTTATTCTTATAATTTTTAATTAACTCTCTATGTCAGAATTGAGTGTGTCTTTAAAACAGGCTTACAGTTGCTTCGAGTAAGTTAGACTGGTTTAACTTAGGGTTAGTAATTTTAAATAGAACCTAAATTCTTGGACAGTTTATGAGGTTTGAATATACTGTAATTACACGTTAGATACAGTAACTGTTAATAAACTTCAAATCCAGTGACATGTGTACACAGTCAATATATTGTTAAGTGACTGCATACCTGTATTCTAGGTTGTGATTCCATATATTCCTATAGGTGGATACTAGGGTCATGGTATTTTGACCATGCAGGGTGGCATAGTCATTAGTTCATTAATTGTGGATTAATTCAAAGGAACATGCTGCCTCCATATAAAGGATTGAGGCAAGGTTGTCTGGGCAAGGTATGTTTCCCCAGTCTCATTGACCCAAAAAGGGGACAGCAGCAGGTTCCTCCAAAACATTGGTAACCATCTACAGTAATATACTGTCATATTCCAAAAGACCAAAATTCAAACATTCACCACTGTGACAACAATCTTACATTGTTGCTTATTGTTTACTGTGTGTAAAGAAAAAATATACTTGAAAAGTGTTGGATTCTGGGATGTAATATTGTTCATCAGGTTAGCCATTTTTTTTTGAGGAATGTAGTGCCTGTATGTTCAGGGTCAATGAGTAAGCCAAGCAAACAGTAGATAATTTGCTTGCTTGTTTACTTACTCAGTTTACTTCTTGACCCTGAAGATGGAAGCAGCACATGCCTGTGAAATGTCAGTAAACTTTTAACGGAGTACATAGTGTCACATCTCAAAAGAGAGTTCTCCTCATAGTCACCAATCCAAGAAACTCAGATCTAACAAAGAGTACACTTTTGCCCAAAAATTCTCCAGGAACAATCCAGAACATTCTTGAAATAGTATGTTTTATTTTTCATGTTATGCCCGTAAATACAGTCATACTGCAGGCCATTCACTGTATGGTTAAAAAAGAAAGTATTTATGGTTGTGTGTTGTCTGTCCTTTTGTTTTATTACTTTTTATTCTTTATTTATTATATTTTATTTTTTCTAGGGTTGGAAAGACAATCCAGTAGAATTTGACTCTGTTTTCAGTGAAAGTCGGAACACATGGTCCTGGGGAAGTCCTGACATACTTCCCATGTTTGTCAAAGGTTTGTTGTTTTAATATGTAATGTATCGAAGTACTTATCTTTATTTCGCTGAAGACATAAGATTAAGGCTATGTAAGGATGTAACCTTATGTAGTTTGGTAAAGAAGGAGTGAACTTTTGCGTATCCCTAAGATGGAAGGAGTAGGTTTATATCCAAAATGTTGATTTCTATCTACCAAACTACACGTTGCAGGAAACAGTAATTTTAATATCTGCCACAGTGAGAACCTCAAATGTCACCCTTGAAGACTTCTTTAAATGTAACCCTGCCTACCCTTGCTGCAACATATAAATGGCAGCAAGTCCCTACAATTGCATATTTACCTTATTTTTAGATCTTCCTTGGTATGTAATAATAAATTTATAGTAATTTTTGATAATGGAAATACCACAGGAGCATAATGTTGCCATTTGTGGATAAGAAGATGAAATGACTAACACAATCTAAGTGCAACTTAAAAGCATCTCAAAGATGTAGTATGGCTGTTTCACCAAAGCAGCCTTGAATTGAATTGAATTTATTTTGTGGGGCTCTCTATTGTCATCGATGTGTGTGTCTTGTCATTACTCCGATGACAACCCACTTCTTCGGAACAGTTTGTTGGCCCTGAAAAGGACCGTGGCTGCTGAGATGATTGACCGGTGAGGTAGCGCGGCGCGCGCCGGTAAGGAGAAAGGCTAGTGAATGGCGAGTGGCCTGGCCGCAGTGCGGCCGTGGTTGGAGGTTGCTTGATCGCTGCGCGGCAAATGGCGGAGGTTGCTGCTGGTGGTGAAAGGCTAGTCGAGCGCGGTCGTAGGAGCCATGAGGCAGTGGCTACGCCAGATGCCCAGTGAGTCAGACCGTAACACGACCACCGGCGAGTCCAGGCGCGGTGCCCCAGTGAGTCGGGTGTGAGAGCGCTGGA